TTAATTTTAGATGATAGATAGATAGATAGATAGATAGATAGATAGATAGATAGATGGAATGATAGAATATAGTGGTAGCTTCTTGTGGTTTTACTTTGCATTTCCCTAATGACTAATGATGTTAGCCATCTTTTCTGGTACTTATTTATAACTTCATTGATGAACTGTCTGTTCAAGTCTTTTACCCATTTTTTTAAAAAAGATTTTATTTGAGGGGTGCCTGGGTGGCTCAGTCGTTAAGCGTCTGCCTTCGGCTCAGGTCATGATCCCAGGGTCCTGGGATCGAGCCCCGCATTGGGCTCCCTGCTCTGCGGGAAGCCTGCTTCTCCCTCTCCCACTCCCCCTGCTTGTGTTCCCTCTCTCGCTGTGTCTCTCTCTGTCAAAAAATAAATAAAATCTTTAAAAAAAAAAGATTTTATTTGAGAGAGAGAGCGAGCATGAGAGCGAGCACGAGCAGGGGGGAGGGGCAGAGGCAGAGGAAGAAGCAGGCTCCCCGCTGAGCAGGGAGCCCTACGTGGGGCTCAATCCCAGGACCCTGGGATCATGACCCAAGCTGAAGGCAGACACCTAACTGACTGAGCCACTCAGGCGCCCCCTTTTACCCATTTTTTTAAGAGTCATTTGTCTTATTATTGGCTAAAATTCCAACAGGAACCCTGTCTTCTTGGCAAGAGGAACCAAGGAAAGGTAGTAATTAAAATGATATTGCAGGGGTGCCTGGGTGGCTCAGTCATTAAGCATCTGCCTTCGGCTCAGGTCATGATCCAGGGTCCTGGGATCGAGCCCCGCATCGGGCTCCCTGCTTGCCAGGAAGCCTGCTTCTCCCTCTCCCACTCCCCCTGCTTGTGTTCCTGCTCTCACTGTCTCTCTCTCTCTCTGTCAAATAAATAAAATCTTTTAAAAAAAAATTTTTAAATGATATTGCACTAGCACAAGACTCAACAAGCAGATCAATGCACTGGATACAGACCCCAGAAACACACTGTGTATATTGGTTTAAATTTGGTCAGGAAGGGGTGCCTGGGTGGCTCAGTGAGTTAAGCATCTGCCTTCAGCTCAGGTCATGATCTCGGGGTCCTGGGATCAAGTCCCACATCAGGCCCCCTGCTCAGCCAGGAGTCTGCTTCTCCCTCTCCTTCTGCCCCTCCCCCTGCTCGTGTTATCTCTCTCTCTCTCTCTTTCTCTCAAATAAATAAATAAATCTTAAATAAAATAAAATAGGTCAGGAAGAGAGAAATTATTCCACAAATGGTGCTCAGACAATTGGTTATACCAAACTTAGACCCTATGTCATACTACATACAAAAATTAAATCACTGATGGATACTTTACACTTAATCATCACTAAATTTTAAAATTATTATTAACCCTAATGAAATAATGACTCTAAGTAATAATTATCAACAGCTGCTAACATCCCAACAAAGAAAGAAAATCAGACATAAGGTACTTCCTGATGAAAATACACACCACTTATTCAAGTATTCTTGTCCCAAAAAACTCAAACCTGAATGTGATCATGCCTCTAGATCTCACCACCCCTTTACAGGGATAGAGGAACATGCTTAAAATCACCACAGGGAAGCTGTCAGCAAAAATCCAGACTCTGGGAAACTTTATAGGATAGTCTGGTTGTTTCAACAATTACAAGGGGGTGGCAAAAGGAACAGAGGGGGAACCTACCAATTGTAAGAAATTTAAGAGACACATCACTGGAGCACCTGTGTGGCTCAGTGGGTTGGGCATCTGACTCTTGATTTTGGCTCAGGTCGTGATCTCAAGGTTGAGGGATCAAGCCCCATGTCAGGCTCCATGCTGGTTACAGAGCCTGCTTGGGATTGTCTCTCTTCCTCTCCCCCCACTCCCACTCACACACACACTCTCTCTCTCTCTAAAATAAAATAAGACACATCACTATTGCAAGGCATGGACCTTATCTGAATCCTGAATCAAACTCACAGTTAAGTGTGTGTGTGTGTGTGTATGCTGCTTTGTGGCGTGGCATACAAAGGGAAGGGAAGGGGAGATATGGGCATTCTCTGCTGGCAACACCTTCCCCAACTTCCACACAGATGGGGGTTTGCTATGAATGCAGTGCCATCTTGAGAGCCGAATGCTCTTCTTCTTACACTGGTCCTGGCCCCTCACACAGGCCCACAATGAAAAAAGTGCAAAAGTGACCTCTTACTTCAGTTGTCCCAGAGCTGAGGACCAAATATCTGCGATTGTGTTTAGTCATTTCAGGAGCCCTGGTGCCTAACTGCAGGGTGAAACAAAGGATGGATGGATGGATGGATGGATGGATGGATGGATGGATGGATGGACGGATGGACAGATGGACAAATGAACAGATGCCCAACCTACCAACTGTATCCCAAGTCCCACTAAAAGCTCAAGGCTGAATCCTAGTCCAGTGTTCCCTCAGTCAGCCTGCAGAGAATTTGAAACATATTTTACAAGGCTATACAAAGTCGAAGCTGGACAGGTCCTAAAGGATCATTTGTTCTAACATCTTCATCTTATAGAGGATAAAACTGAAATCCATAGAGGATTAGTTGCCCATTATCTTTAGAGACTGAGTCAGGTCTGAAACCCAAGTGTCTTGACTCCCAGTACAGTGCTCTTTGTATCAAGGGGTTATTCTTTTGTCCTTGTATCCTTAACTAGGTCATTCAACCAACTTTGTGGTGACGGTCCTCTTACCCTCCAAGCGTTCCAAAGATTATTGGATTGCCAAGGGATCAGCTTTGCTCTGCCAGCTAAATGAGTGAAAAGTTGCCACCTCCTGCTAAAAAAGAACCAGGCTGGAGATCTTTCCTGATGGGGGACAAAGGTCTGCATAACTTATATGTGAGCAAAATAGCTTTACTTCAGATCTGACTTAAGGGTAGTAAGTGTGGTTTTTCTCTTCTAATCTAAAATAAAGTGTTTGAGTGTTTCTTCCTGTTGGTAATTCAAGCTCTGATGTGAAAGCAGTGGGTTCAACACTCACCTCTCAAACCTGCTCCGCCTCCCCCAGGTGAGAGCCAGGCAGCTTCCCATCAATAACTTGAGGGGAGTGAGGAGAGTGAGGGGAGTAACCTGGGCGAGTCAGAGCTCAGCAATGCCTTATCCACAGGGGCTTCCTTCCTCCTCACTCTGATATAAAAGGCCTGGTTTACACTGCAGTCACGTGGCCCCAGGGGCTTCGATTTCTAGACCAGATGAAGGCTCAGAGCCCAACACATGGGAGGCTGATGAGCAAATGAGCTGGATAACAAGATCTCGAACCCATGGTGCCTGTTCCCCCACTCTATGGGGCTATACTACAGTCCTTAGAAGAGGCTGCTGTGCTTCACGGAAGTGCAGGTTGGTCCTGCCCAAGTACAGAACTTCCCCTCCATTTTAGAACGAGCCTGTGTGAAAAGCAGCCAAGTCCCACCCAGGTGCACCTGAGCCCCTGTCACCTCAAAAGCAGAGGTTATTGGGCCACCATTAAGATGGAGCAGTCACCAAAAAAAAAAAAAGGAAGAAAAGATGGAGCAGTCACTGTGGCAAATCATCTTGTGTCAGCCCTGCCAACAAGGGTCCGTTTGCCTCCTCAGCCATAACATGAGCCAAGACACTGGGAATCACGCAGCTAGGATGGATAAAGCCACACCACCCCCTTACAGAAATTTGCAAGAATTGGGTCAGGCCCAGTAATCCTACCTTCCCCTTTTACCTCCGCCTTCGTCCCCATACCTATCAAAGTTAAAAACAGACTCAAGTCCCGGAGAAGCAGAGAGCACTTCTATTACTTAGAGTTCAGAGCAGGAATCCGAGACTACTCTTGGCATTCCAAGCGGGAACAGGTACTTACTAAGCCATGGGAATGGCTGCAGCTGCAGAAGTCAGAGGTTGACATCAGGCACCACGGCAGCTGTAATCCAAGGTCACAGCGCTGTGGGAAACTGTGCCAACCTCACACTGTACCGCACTCGTGGAACAGTCGACTGACTGGACGAGGAAGAGCAGAGCCAGGCCACTGCACAAACTCGTGCCTGCTGGAGCCTACACATATCTGCCACCACCCCTGAAGAGAAAGTTCTTCTGTCTCTTTCCGCCTTCCAAGTCAGGCAAGTCTATCTCATTAGGAGAATCTCAAACATAGCAGCAAGGGAATCTGGGAACGTTGAGTCCTCCCACCCCTGCAATACAGGGTGCATGCTGCAGAATGGAGCAAAGGTGGAGGACACGCATCCTGAGTACCACCACACCACTCTTTAAGTATACCCCAAAGATCTTCTGGGCCCTGGAAATGACTGAGAATGCACCCACAAGAAAGTCTAGGAAGAGAAGATCACAGAACTGCGAGCCCAGGCAATCAAGCTTTCCCCAAACCAGGTTAGGAACAAACACATCTGTTTCTTATTGGCCCCATCCAAGTCCTGGGCAGACCCTCTGGGTTTCTGTGAGCTGCTCGAAAGCCCCTAAAGAAACCTTGCCATGAGGTGGGAAGGGGGGGGCAGGACTAAAAGTTCCCATTTCAGACTCAACCAAGACAATTCTACTCTTAATCATTTTATGTAGGTTCCCCGTAAGATTTTATTTGTAAAAGACATAGACATATAAATAATAAATAACAAGACAGGAAGAGGGAGCGTTTGCAAAGTGCTTTCTTGCACAGCAGCTTTGACGAAACCCACCCATTCACCCAGTCTTCAGCGTGTTGGCGAGACACTCATACATCACACATAATTAAAGCACTTGTCAGAGTGCAGGACGCAGCCCAGCCACCAGACCTTGAATAGAGAGGAGCAAACAAAGGTCCCATGGCCTATTAATTCCCCTGAATCCAGAACCAGGAGTGAGTAGGAAGAGGAGCAGCAGGAAGAACAGGGTCAGGATCCAAAGTGGCAGGTAGGCCAGGAGCAGGGCCCAGGAGTGAAGCAGTGATAGTATCCAGAGGGTGTGAGCAAGAGTTGTTTGCATAATATATACATACTGTGGCGAAAAGTCTACACAGAAAATGTATTTAATCATTTTTATATAATACATTTATAATTCTTTTCATACAACTCAGTATGTTACAAAACTGTACACCCACCCCAAGCACTGCTGGACAACCCAAAGTCATTCCTTGGAAAGAGAAGAACCAACACTGCATTTTATTCTGTCTCCTTTCCTGGGTCGGGCCTATCAAGGCCAGACCAGAGTGTGGAGTACAGGAACGGCCATCCTTCAAGTCCAGGGGGTCGGGGCTTGGCCTGGCTCCTCCAGTCATTACAGGAGGAATGTCTCTGTTTGGAAAGCCAACATCAGCACCCAGAACACAGGAGTCCAGAGAGACAGACAGGCACTGCTAGCCACCATCTGGCTGTGGTGGGAATGCCCATGGTGAGGAAGCCGCAGCTCAGCAGAGATGGATCTATCCAGAGTAGGGACCTGGAGTTGTGGGACCATGGCGCTACGAGGAAAAGAAAAAACGGAGTCTCAGAGCTCAGCAGGAGCCCCTGGATACTCCAAGGCCCCTGAAGGCCCACACAGCTTCTTTTCATCTCCCTTTTTTAGAGATGAGAATGGATCTTAGTATGTTAATGGGCTTCCTGTGTCTTTGTCCCTTAATACTATTGCTACAACAAATCCAAGTAATTCAGGTGCTAAGACCAGCACATCGGACAACTTTCCCCCGGCGACATGGTTCTTGGTTCAAAGATTATTAAAACTCTAGGTGTAAGAAGCCCCAACTCAGATTTGCGTGTCATTAGCCCTTGGGCAATCTCAGGCAGGGATCCTCCACACTGACCACACATAGAGGCCCATCCAAGCCATGAGGTGTCCTCCCCGGGATCTGGCTCTCCCCGCCGACCCAGCTCAGGTCCAGTGTGAACTCCATGCAGACATCCCAAGTCAAGACAGTATGAGCTAAGGGGCCCATGATCTCAGACCCAACTGGACCTTTCAGCTCAGCTCAGGTGTAAAGTGCCCGACTCCAGGCCACCTTGAAAGGAAATGGCCCAGACCGAAAAGGAACTGAATATGTCAGTTTCTTCCTCCACCCGCCAAGGAAGGATAGTTGAAGAGCCACTCTCTTGCAGGTACCACTGAACATGGATTCAACAGGATCTGTCCCTGTTCTCCAGGTCCCATTTGGTTGCCAGCTTCCCTCCATTTAAAAATGCCAATCCCGGGAGCACCTGGGTGGCTCAGTCGGTTGAGCATCTGACTCTTCATTTTGGCTCAGGTCATGATCTCGCCATCATGGGATCAAGCCCTGAGTTGGGCTCTGCCCTGAGCATGGAGTCTGCTTCAGACTCTCTCTCCCTCTCCCGCTCACCTCTCTCTCTCTCTCTCAAATAGGTAAATAAATAAAATCTTTTTTAAAAATTTTTTTAAAAAGCCAATTCCACAGCATACTGGATGCCTGCTTCGAGCCTTCAGTGGCTCCTCATGTCTTCAGGCACTCCACTCCACTTCCTGTCTGGACCCACCCCGCCCCACCCCACTCCCCTTGACTTCCCAGGCTCCAGCCATAATTACTTCATCTTGGTTTCTTCAACATGCTCACTCTCTCTAGGCCTTCAAATTGTCCCGCTTGCTTGGAACTCCTTCCCCTCCTTGCTCAGTTGTTTACTCATTCAACATTTATTATTAAACACTATGCAGGCACTGGATCCCTGAATCTCCTGATGAAGACTCAAGTTCTGTTCGTTGGGCTTCACTTTGTCAGGCTTCTACTCAGTATCAGCCAAAAGGTCCCTTCACTCCACGAGGCCTTTCCTGACCCCCAACCCTAAATAGTAACCTCCAACAAAAGAGCATTCCCACAGTACCCTACACTTCCTTTGCAGACAATCAACTCAAAATCTGACTTCCTCCCCAGAATGTGAACTCCATGAAGGCAGAGGGCTAATGCCTGGTTTACTCCAAAGCCACGGCACCCAACACAAAAGCAGGCACATGGGAGGAACTCAGTACATTTGGGTTGAATTGATCTGGATCCTGGATCCCAGGCCTCTCTGATGTAGTTCTTCCAGAAGCCTTATGCCTTGCAGAACAGGCTGAGTCATCACCTTTGACTCCTCTGTCCACCTCTGATCTACCTCCTAAGCATCTCTGAGAGTACATTCTGTGTTCATCCTACTCCCTGTCAAATGTGGGGGCTGAACAAGCCCATTCCCACAAGGTTGCTTCCAGCTCTGCAAAACTGAAATCCCTGATCTGCAGTGGAGAAAGGGCTGGTAAATCAACACACTCAGGCATACCCACACCCGCCCCCCACCCTTTCTTTAACAAAGATGAACATGTTGCCCTTACTCTGGCTCGAAGTAACTACCTTTAATCTGGATTCATCTGTATCACAGTGAACAGAAGACAGTGCCCAAGGCTGTGAGGAACAGGAAGGCTGGTCCATGAGTGGGGTGCTCACCCCCACCAGAGCCTTGAACCCCCACCCTCTTAAGCGGTGTGATGGGCATTTCCGGGCTGCCCCCCACCCACACTCCCAGTGGGACGGATGGCTGCCGGGGATGGGCTCCCCGCCGGCCCAGCCCAAACCACTGCCTCACCTCTCCTCCAGTCGAACCCACAGATCGCTGAACTGCCGAAGCCGGGGCCTTCGCTGTGGTCGCAGCCGCCTCCGCTTCTTCCGAAACCTCCGCTCCACCTCACCACCCAGGTCGGCACTTCCGGCCGGGGACACGTGAGGAGGCAACAGTGAGTGCGCCGCAGACGCAGCTTCCGGTGCCCGCACTTCCACGGAGGGCACTTCCGGAGCAAAGATGACCCGGGAGGTCGGCCCCGACGAGGGACTTTGGCTCTTCTCTCTTTGAACAGGGGTGGAGGGAAGATGGACTTGAAGGAGAGTCGCACAGCATGGCGTCCTCCCCGCCCTCAGTGCTCAGGGCCTCAAAACAAGGAGACAGTGTGAAAGTTCAAGCTGGCTAGGGAGGGTTCTCGAAGCCACCTCCAGAATCGATCACTGTCATTGACGCCTTATTTTCTCCCTCCCATACTGTCACCATAGTCGTTCCAAATCCCCCAGCTGGGGAGGAAATAGATTTCTTTTAAATTGCGTATAATTACTGCCCTTCCCTAACGATGGGTCACAACTGTCTAGAAAGTCACTGAAGATTACAGCATTGAAAGAGACATGAAAAATGTTCGAATGCCATTTACTTAGGACAACTGAAGTGGCCCTTAATCATGTTAATCCCTCCTTTACCCTCCTAAGGGCTTTACTCAGACTGAGTCTGTAGTAGCCCCATCCCCACCTGAATGACTGCTAGTTTTCACAGGGCTGGCTTCTAACCACCTTACCCCAGGGCTCACCATAAACCGTCTTTCCCAAAGGAAATACGTTTTTCACAACTGATGAGAAACTCAAACTTGCTTCTAGTTTTCCCTTAAAGGTGACCGTAGTCCCACCCCCAAGAATCTCTTCCAGTGGGTAAATAAGCCATTAGAAGGACCGAGTTTCTTCCTACAACAGGACTTTTGTCAAGGATTTAAGTTGCGGTTGAGAAGGGGTCAGAAAGAGAAGAATCCAGCTACTGGAGGTCAATCCCATTGTCTCCTGATGTAGGCAGTGAGGGCCCATCCACCTGAAGAAAGGGAGCAGTGGACGTGCCATGTGCATCCTCCAACAGTGTGGGTGCAGCAGACCAGCATACATAAAAACTCAGTCGTTCTGCCCTGATTCAGCCTTGATGAAGTGCCCACTAGCCAGAAGCAGGGCTCAATTCTGACCCACAACCTGACAGAACTGAGTTGTCAATTAATATTCATGGCCCTGTGTGAGGAAGGGAGGAGGTATAAGAGATAGGAAATGAAAAAAGGAAAGACTCAGGGTGGGCAAAAAAGGTAAAAGAAGGGAATTCCTCAAATGGCAAAGAAAGTAGAAAGGCCCCTATTCTGACTTGAGGTTGGGAATCCCAGCAACATATAGTTACAGCTAAAAGGCCCCTGGAGGACAGGACCTGCCAGATTCATCACTGTCTCCAGAGCCCAGCACAATGCCTGACACATAAGTGTGACACCATTTAAATGAACCTCTTCATTATGCCAACAAAGAAACTGGAGCCTAGAGAGGAAAACTGCCCCACCTAGCTCTCTCCAAGATTCTGGTGGCCTCCTGGAAGATTTAGGAGCAGATGGTCAGGCAGACCCCATGCCGAGGCCCTCTGCCCCAGCAGAGGTCACGTCTATGTCATCCTTGACCTCCGTATAACCCAAACAGGCCCTGGTACACAGTAGGCACTCAAAAAAAGTCTGTTGCTCTTACTTAGCAAAAACATGGACTCAAATTCACTAGGGCTCAGCTCTGATAGCTTCAAGCAGTGGATCCTCACAGTGGGACAAATCACAGCGGCGGTTCTGTTCAAATCACATCACAACAGACACCAGAAGACCTCAGCCCAGTTACTGCAGGTAGCCAAGGCCAGGGCTTGAGAACCAAGTTAATTACCCCTGTGTGGGGGTGGGGTGGGAGGCAAGATTAATCCAGAAGAAATTAATTTTACTTCTCCTGATTCTTATCTTTCTCATATTTCACAGCTGAGATGTCCTGGGAATCATAACACCCACTTTACAATTACACACACACACACACACCCGGCAGGGTCTTCTTCAGCACCCACAAGGACTATGTGCCAAACACCCACCCAGTCAGCCTAGGGCGGGGGGAGGGGGAGAAGGGGGCTGAGAAGGGACCAGGGGGCCCAGCCCACCCTGCTTTCCAGAAGCACACAGTCCCCCCAAAACAAGCAGAGAACCACTAAAGGCTGGGTTCTCCGTCCAGGGCTGAAGGAGAAGAGGCGGAAGAGAAAGAGCCACATTTGGGCCGCCAGCAGAGCGGGCTGACGGAGGGGCAGGATTTTCCCTGTCAGGGGGAGATGGCCAGGCAGCACCCTGGACAGGAGGTTTTCTCACGCGAGAAGCACGCCCGTGCTGGAAAAACAGTAGAGTCTGGGTGCCGAGACGTCAGCACGCAGAAACCGGACTTGGGAAAAGAACAGTAAGAAACCACTGAAGTTTTCTGAGGAAGGGACACTTGCAAGATTAGTCCCACGGAAAGCAAAGAATGGACCAGAGGGCGAGAGCCAAGGGAAAGGAGAGGAGGGAACCCGAGAAAGGAGGCCCAAGGTGTGATGAAGGTGAGAAATGAGGAGTCTCAGGTGAGGGCTTTTGTAGAGTAGAAGTGCTACTGAAGAACCGTTATTACTGACGCCCTGGATGCAGGTATGAAGACAGACGGGGTGAGACGGGCCCAGGGCGTACCCACGACTGCCTGCTCAGAGGGAGACTGGTAGAATCCCGGCCCCCGGGGAGGGGGCACTGGACTGTGAGGGAGGACCCTCTGGAGTGAGGGGCTAGGGAGAGGCCCTGGCTTGAAACAACATGAGTTGAAGGGAGCCTTCCGAGGAGAGAGAGGACACCTGGGGAAGGGCAGCCATGAGCAGACACCACCACGGACCCTCTCTCTCTATCCCCTCAGCGGAGGGGACCTGCATTCTCCTCACCACCGCTGAGATCTCTGCCAGGAGGGGGCGCTGGTGACCACCATCTGGAGGGAGTGGGGTGAGGCATGGGTGTGTTTTGGGCTGAATTCCTCAGAATGTGTCTGTATGCATAGGCAGGGCCTTTAAAGAGGTGATTAAGTTAAAATGAAACTGTTGGGGCACCTGGGTGGCTCAGTTGGTTAAGTGACTGCCTTCCGCTCAGGTCATGATCCCAGGGTCCTGGGATCCAGCCCTGCATCGGGCTCCCTGCTCGACAGGGGGCCTGTTTCTCCCTCTGCAGCTCCCACTGCTTGTGCTCGCCTGCTCTCTCTCTCTGCCAAATAAATAAATAAAATAAATAAATAAATAAAATCTTTAAAAAAAAATAAAATAAAATGAAGCTGTTAAGGTGGGCCCGGATCCAATCTGACTGGTGTCCTTGTAAGAAGAGGAAATTTAAACAAAGAGAGACACTGGGATTGTGTGAGCACAGAGGGCCGCCATCTGCAAGCCAGAGAGACAGACCTCAGGGGAAACCAAACCTACCAACACCTTGATTTGGGACTTCTGGCCTCCAGAACTGTAAGAAAATAAATTTTTGTTGTTCAAGTGCCCAGTCTGTGGCATTTTGTGATGGCAGCCCAAGCTGACTGGTACCGAAGGGGAAGGAAGGGTCCACAGGGCCATCAAAATGAGAAATGAGCAAACCTGGGGGGAGAAACAGCTCAGGGAAAGACAAGGAAGGGGCTTAGCTCCTGCCCCCAAGATGGGTCTCACAGGCACGTCCTGCACCTCCAGCCCCTCTGACCTGACATTATGACTGATTTCTCCATCTGCCTCCCTGAAACCTCCCAAATGCCCACTGGAAGGGCACTGAGCATTAAGCCTAATCTCCCCTCCTGGGGCCCCCAGGACCATGGAACAGTCTTCCCTTTTACTTCTTCCCTGCCCCAAGACTGCTGAGGAAAAGGCCAGTATGGCTTCTGTTGCCCAAAGGGCCTGGCCGGCCAACCCATGTCTGACAGAGCCCCAGCCACAACAGGATGCCAGCTGAACCGGGTGCCAAGTGGCCAGACTGGGAAGGGGGTAATAGCCATGCTGGGGGCCTCTGGAGCCCCTCAGGGAATAGCCCACCCTGGTGCCCAGGCAGCCCCATGGGGGTCTCGGCCCCCCAGCTGCTCCCCAACCAGGATAGAAGCACAGGAAGGTTACTTGTTGATGGCTCGTCCAGCGGGGGCGTGTTCTACCTCATAGCCTTCGCGCCGCAAGACATCGAGCACTGTGTTGTTGCCAATGAAATGACCTGCAGGAAGGAAAATGATCAGAAATACGGCAGTTCCCATGATTACTCTACCCCCAAACACACACCCCATGTACCCCCAAACACACACCCCAAATCAAACAACCCTAGCAACCCCCCGTCCCTTCTGTACAGCCCAGGAGAGTTCCAAAGAGTTCCTGCAGTCAGGCCTCCCAACCGCCCTCCACGCAGGCAGGGAGTGATAAGCCCCACTGCAGAGCTGAGGACACAGAGGATCAGAAGGGTGCAGTGAGCTGCCCAGAGTCACACAGTAAGGAGACAGCCTAGACACCAAATCCCATGCACCTCTGAACGCGGTGTTAACAGTCCTGACCATTCTCCTCATTTATACAAGCCAACCACCTCTGAGACCTGAGCCCCCTTCTGTCCAACACATAATGATAAATGCACAATCAAAACCTCCATTTAGCAGAAGCCATCATGGCTGGAAACCTCCACCTGAATTTTATTTCACTTTTTCCCTTTTAATAAAAAACAACAAAGATCAAACAGATAAGCTTATAGTGACATCTTAAAATCAACATTTTAAAGGCCAAAAGTAGCTCTTGGGATTAACCTTCATTCCTTTCAGGTTTTTTGGGTTTTGTTTTTTTTTTTAAGTAGCCTCCACACCATGGAGCCCAACACAGGGCTCAGACTCACAACCCTGAGATCAAGACCTGAGCTGAGATCAAGAATCAGATGCTTAACTGACTGAGCCACCCAGGAGCCCCTCCTTTCAGGTTTTGACGCTCAGAACTGACATGTCCCTCTCTGTGACAGTGTCTGGCACTTTAATGTCCTAAATGGCTCATTAAATTGTAGCAGCCTATCATGTTATTGCGCAGAACTTTAGAGGGATCATTATCTCACTTTAAATTGGAAAACAGGTAACACAAGTTCAGGACATCACACGCTAAGCAGCAGCAGAGTCTATGCAATTTTGACACCTCAATATTCAATAACCAGAGACTGGGACAGCAAATTAAGTTACATCCACGCTGCAAGAGAGGCGACAGGCTGTCTGTAAGTCTCTCCCGTGTCCTGTTCCCACAGCTCTAGGAAGCAGGGTGAACCTGGATCAGCCTCTGGGAGCCTGGGGAGCCCGAGGGCAGTGACTATGGCAGAAGGTATTGGGCCCTACTATGTTCTTGGGTTCAACTGTAGAGGCTATATGACCCCAAGATTGATGACAGGCAACTGGCTTAGATGAAAGGGACATTGGCAAGGCCCAGATTAGCCCTGGTGCAGAAGTGCACACATTATGCCTGGGCACCCGGGTGGCTCAGTCGGTTAAGCATCCAACTCTCGGTTTGGGTTCAGGTCATGATCTCAGGGGAGTCTGCTTGTCCCTCCCCCTCCCCCTCAGTCCCTCCCCCCGCCCCCTCTTGTGCATGCGCTCTCTCTCACATACATACATACATACATACATACATACATACATACAAGACTATGCCTGGACTGGGGAGGGTGGGTGGCTACCAAGCTTGCGGAGTACTGCTGTGACCCTCACTCCCCCAGCCATTACCAAGCCCACACAGCAGAGAGTGACCACACAAATAAAGTAGCTAACAGTCACGGAGCATCACGAGGTGCAGTGCTTTACACATCACTTGATCCCCCACCCCAACAATCCTATAAGGTGGGTGTATTATTATCCCCATTTTACAGGTAAGAAGAGGCACAGAGAGATCGAGCAGACTGCATCTCAAACCCCAGTGGTCTGGCTCCAGAGTCCACGCTCTCAACCAATTAGGAAGGCAAACAATATTTGTCAAGTGAACGAACGGCCCCCATTACCAATGCTGTCTCATCACAGAACCAAGCTATTCTGTTTGACTTAATTTTCCTCCTACTCCAAGAGCGAGCTCCATTTCTCATCTCTAAATCTTATCTCCAGACCCCCACAGAAAAAGTTGCTGTTTGCTTTTAAACGCTGGTTCTTTTAGTTTTGGGTTATCTTCGCTTTGCAATTAAAAGTTTGCTAACCGCAGATTTTGTAAATCTTAAACCAGTAGAGCTAAGTGTCAGGAGCAATTTCTGGGGTTCCCTCCGGTTACCACAGCCTTCAGAAGGCACGAGGAGAAATGGATTCATGCGGTGGAGAAAGCAGCCCCGGGAAGAGAACTCGGCACTAGCGGCTGCCCAGGGCACTCCCGAACCCCAGCGGCTGCGAGGCCTGGCCCCAGCGCTGCAGGAATACGACGAGCTGTGCCTGGAGAATGAGACTAGCCCAGATGCTGCAGTCTCGCCTGGGCCATCTGTCCAGCACAGTCCCCATCTGGAGGGCCTGCCCCACGATCTGCTCAGATCAACCTGCCAGCCAACCTGCTGCCCAGCCTCACACCACAGGGTAGGCCACTGTCATCTCAAAGTATCCGCCTTCCCCCCAGCACCCAGTGCCCCGCTCTCCACCACTGGATGTCAGGAGCGGAAAGCAATCGAGTCTGGCTTCTACCTCTCTTGAGAGCGTCCTGTGGTGCTTGTCCTTTAGTCTGCTAATATGGGGTATTACGTTAATTGATTTTCAGATATTGTGGAAAAGGTCCCCCAAAATACATCTGCATCCTAATCCCCGGAACTGTGAATGTTATCTTACGTGGCAAAAAAAAAAGATTTTGCAGATGTAATAAAGCTGAGGATCTTGAGATCAGGTGATAATTATACTGGACCTCTCACTCTGCCACTCTGGAAATGCTTCTCTCCAACCCCCCATTTTACTGGTGAAAAAAACTGAGGGAGGTGACTTGCCCAAGTCAATGAAGCTAGTGAAAGACTTGAAAGGAGAAAGCCGAGGCCAGCAAATGGTCTGGCAAATGTCTGAAACTAGTTCCATTTAAAAGCATAAAAAAATACTTAGTACTAAATCTAACAAGTGACTTGCAAGATGTACAAGGAAAACTAAGGAACTAAAGGAATTAAAGAAGACCTAAGTAAATGGAAAGATTCATGGTCATGAATTGGAAGACTTGATAAATATTGCACACTACCCAGCCTCTGGCATTTCTGTCTTTAATTCTGGAGGGTGCAAAGCTGTGATAAAATCACTCAAGAAGAGGAGATAATTTATTTCAAAAGCCCCACAAAAGGAAATCATTGTCCCAGTCTGTTTCCTTGTACACTGTTAGCAGTTGGTAACAGCTGATCTGTCAGCCCCAGGCCTTCCACCTGGGAGGCTCATAGTCAGAGAGGAGAGACAAGACATGACGAATTTTAGGGGAATTAGTTTAAAAAGTGAAAGGGGCCAGAAAGAAGCTGGGAGTAAGTGCTGAGTTCAGAAGAGAGAAAAATGCCTTCCCAGCTTCCAGGGGAGTGTATCATGAGCACCATGTGGAAAGAGAGCTCTCTTGATGTCACAGGTACCAGCTTGCCCAGCCAAGTTCCAACCATGCTGGATACTCGGGCATCAGCCGGAGCCACTTGGCGAGTGAACGAAGTCCAAGGTGTCTGCCACTCAGCTCACCTCCTACCAGGCGCCCACCCCAGCATGCCCTTCGTGGAAGGAGCATCAGAGCGCAGCATCCCAGCAGAGGTAACCTATGACTCACCAGCTCCAAAGGCAAAGAAAAAACCTTTGTCAGGGAACTCTTCCAAAAGGGCCTTCACCCGCTTCCCCATTCTCTCATTCCGCTTGTAGATAAGCTCCCGGCGGAAGTAGCTGTCGATCTCCTGGGCAGTCACACGCTCCTGAGGTGGCAGCGTGGCATTAATGAAATTGGGAACCTCCGCCAAAAGAAAAAGAAAGAGAAAAATTAGGGGCAACAGAGTTATGAACGAAGTTGCTTAATTTGAGCACAAAATCACCCAGCCTAGACGGTCAAGCTGCTGTCGGGGGAAGGGGGAAGACAGACATACCACTCTTGGGGGTCTCCTCCCTGCTACTTCTTCAGACTGGGATATCATTCTCTGTAACCCAAGTGCAAACATATTAAATGAAGTGCACTGAAAGAACTCTTGGGCTATTTTAGACAGTGCTTCTGTTCTATTTAAATGAGAGTGCTTTGCGCCATGTGTTTATATAAGGAGACCATATCTTTGCCTCAACACATCCATGGTTTGTACTTGTTGGATTCACACATGCTTCCTTTAGGAAAATAATTTTACATAAATACATAGTTTAGAATCAATAATTATGACTCTACTACCAAATATATGGAATGCCTATAACCATTCAACTGTTAGTTCTAAATTCCATACATGGTCATTGTAATTACTTCTCCAATTCCCAAGTCTCCCTCTTGCTTTCTCCAATGTTCTTTACCCTCCTGGCAAATATTTCACCTGGCTCTGGCACTCATGCTAGCCAGCTGCAGTATTAGGGCTAACAACAGGGTGCTAGGACACCAAAACTGTGACGATCTTGCCGCAGAGGCCGCAGGTGAGGTGACACATGAGTTCTCTCCCCAGCCCATCTCGGTCCCCTCCTCCCGGGCGCATGCTCTCTCCTCTACCCAGGGATTTAACAAGGTTAACCATTCACAAGGTTTACTCGGTTATAGAACAGGGTGTCTACACTGGCTGCTTCTCCCGCTTGCAGTAGCCACTCAAAGGCCTCCTGAACATCCTCACTCTGTAGCGTAGCCATAATTTCCTTTTCACCGACAACAGATCCCCTTTCGCTATTTCCTTGAAATGATACTTTCTTTCATTTTCAAATCCAAAGCCTTCATCTACTCCTTTATCGTCTTTTAAAAAATCATGTCCTCTATGTGGGATCCTTCTGTCCATTTCCCCCAGTCCCTTCTCTTCAGCACAGCACTTCCTTTGTACCAGCCGCCCCCCGCCCCGCGCACGCAGCCCAGAGTGTGCAGGGCAGCCTCCCGCTGCCATCCTGCTCTCCCTTCTAGATGCCGAACGTGCCCTGCGACCTACACCCCTCAGCCTGACCAGCCTGGCCCGCGTGGCACGGTGGCAGGCACATCCTCAATACCCCACACCACCGGTGGGGGTGCTGTGAGCAGGACAGGTATGAGGAGCCGCGTGGAAGGAATGCATAAGGCCCCTATTCCTGACCGCCCAGCCAGGTGGCCCATTTGCCCATATAACTTCCAAATCCCCCGTCCACATTAGCTTTTCCTTCCATTTCACATTTTGATGTCCCAATTGACCTTGACTTGTCTCCCCACTCCCCCAACAACCACCAAGAGTGCCCGTAAGAACTGTCATCACCATAAATTCTACTATTCCTTCTTTTTTTTAATTATTTTTTAATTTTTTATTGTTATGTTAATCACCATACATTACATTAGTTTTAGATGTAGTGTTCCATGATTCATTGTTTGTGCATAACACCCAGTGCTCCATGTAGAACGTGCCCTCTTTAATACCCATCACCAGGCTAACCCATTCTCCCACCCCCCTCCCCTCTACTATTCCTTCTTTAGTGCATTCCTTGTTTTCCCCTTCCCCTGGCTTGCTTTGCCCGGGTTTTACTTCCACCAGCCCTAGACTCTCTGGAAAGCTCATTATATCTTCTGACGCTTGCGGGGCTGATGCTGGATCCAGCCTCGATTGTCCCTCTCCCCAGGCTGCCATTCCTTGTTCACCGCTTATATTCACTCACATTTCCTTAAGACAGGGTCCCCAGATCTAACAGACCCCCAGCATCACTCACACCCTCCTCCCGCAGGAGGACACCGGTCCTGGGGCTGGAGACAACACATTCCCCATCTCAGTAGCTCAGCTGGCACTTGCCACCGCCACATGGTCTTGGTGGGGGGAGGGGAGGAAGCCATGGTTTGTCCCCTGGGAAGCTTGTTGATAAAAGAGTAACAAATATCCTTGTAGGGAGGCTGCATTCCTCTGAGCTTCTTTCCCCTTGACAGCCCATAGGTAAAACCTATCTCGTGTGTCACTCACTGTCCCATGTGTCCCGTGTGTCACCTGTCCCATGTGTCACTCACAGCACCAGCTCAGCCATGGACACATCCCAACCCATCGTGCTCGCGTGTTCCTAGAAGCCACCGCTAAGCTGCAGTCGAGGTTCTGGTTCATCATTTCCCAGAAGTGCTGCCTAAGTCAGCCAGGGGCTTCCGCACTAGGATCCCTTCCCTGCTCCGGAGGCCGCCCCGGACCATGAGGCCTGCCGCTGGATCCCTTGAAGCTTCATCCTTTGCCTGGGATCCGAGAATTAACACTCATCAACGCAACCTCCTCAGTTCCCACGTATCATAAAGAATACCTCTCTTAGCTGCGGCGTCTCCTTCAACATCTAAACCTGTCCGATTTTATTTTTGGAGCCCTTGATGACCTCAATCCTTTGTACACAGAAGGTCCACGCGTCAGCAGGTCAAGTCTTTATTCTTGCGTTTAAATGCATGCTGAGCTGGATAGAGGACAAGGGCCCTCACCTGGGAGCTGTCATGGCTGAAGATGATGGAGCCGAGGTCCCCACAGTTATAGTGTTTGATGAGATCCTCCGTCGTGTAGGGGATCTGAAGGCTGCCTGCTCGAAGGCTCTCCTGCTGCAGGAGGGTCTGGTTCAAAGCAAAGATGACCTATGGGGAGAAAACACAGGGCCCTTTTAAGTTCACTGATACCGCAATCATTAGCTGCCATCTTATTTCTTTTGTCCAAGGTTGGCAATGGCCTCACCTCTGCGTCTGTTGTGTAAAGACATGGACACTGCTGCTAAAAAAGGGAACACAAATCCCCGGGCGGTGTCCAAAGAAAAGGAGGACAGTCCTGCCCAAGTTGGCCCCTTGTGGGTCACACTGGAGGAAGTGCCTTAAAACGGACACAGACCACCTGCAGCTATCCCATGAGAGTCGCCAGGAGGTGAAGAGACCAGAGAACGGCTTGAGATGAATGTCTGAAGAAGCTGGGGAGGAAAGGCAGGAGGCAGCTGGGGACACACAGAGAGGGACATACCGACGACAGCTTCCCTTACGCGAAGGACTGGACAGGAAAATATACACAACATCCACGAGTCCGTTCTAACCATCAGTGTGGCGTGTGCCACCTAATGGATTCACTGGGTCGGTGGGACGTTAATAGAAGTTATGGAAAAGTGAGAAACGAGGGCCAAACAAAATCAAACAGGTTTATCTGGACAAGTTTCTCAGAGTCTCTGATACACTCATGTGAGCTGTGGTTCTTCCCAAAGGGAGACTGTTTCCCAAGTTTATTTGAGGCACACCTCACACGAGAAGGGTTCGCTGGCACATCCTTTGGGAAAATCCAGCCTCGAGGAATTTTACAAACAGTGGTTCTCCGTGGCACTGGAGAGCTGGGACAGAGGGGGAGGTGGGATTCTGGCACGGCTGGGGGCGGGGGAGGGACTGGGGCTCCTGACAACATTGAAGATGCCATGGCACTTTCTCTCCCGCTCTCCCCAGGTGTGGATGCAGACATATCACCTTCGGCAGCTGCCCTTCCACGTGCTGCCCCAGTAATCGGTGTATAGATACTGCCTGGCTGGAATATTCCCTACCCATTTGCTGAAAAGCACACAGGCAGGGTCCATGTGAGCACTCTGTGAGGTTTTCAGCAGGAAGTTTTCAATTCTCTGGAGACAACATATTACAGGTCTCAAGTCAGCAGATGACCCTACGCAGCCCCAATGCCCTTACTGCCTCCTGTCACACATCCTCTTCATTCTGAGGGCAAAGAGGCAGGGGGACTTGGTGACTTGCTTCCCACAGGCCACAGCGGCACACATGGCCCTGTCTCCCACGGTTACTCTAATATTGGCTGTCCCCGTCCTGAGGACTTAAGCAAAGGCGGTGGGGGCAGGTCCCTCTGTAAAATCCCCTCCTCTCCTCTCCAAATGTCCCCCTCTGCTCTGTTGGGCCTGGACCTTCTGGGCCATGCCCTGTCCCCACCCCTCTACTGATGACATGAGCTGACAGATAGATACACCCAGGTGCACATCCACAAATTATGGTCTAAGTGAGGAAACTCAGTCTTCCACAAAGATGAGCCTCTGGATTCTAAAGCCACACAATTGGGACCTCTCCACAACCACTGGGAATGGCTCAATGACTTCTTCGAATTAGCTGGAGGAACAAAGCTTTGGAGAGGAGGGGGAGGGGCAGAATGAAGCCCCTCTCAGGTCTGCCAGGCCCCAGGCCAAGGTCTCACACATTGTCTCTCAATGTCTCCTCCAAAGCAAGTTCTCAGGCTCTGCTTAGCTCACAAATACATGCTGATGGATTCTGCTCTTCTCCTAAAGCCATTCAGGACAAACCCAAGTTATCTGTTGCTGACAGACCTTCCTCCAAGAGTTTCCATTGACTTTGAAATGCTTTTCTGAAGGTGTTCTTGTATTTAGGTATTTAGAGAAGATTGAGCCACCCATCCTGCAGAACGGGCGGATCTGCAAAATGAAGAAGACTGTGTGGCCCGCCTGGCAGGTTAAATCAGGCCTTTGTTTATTCAGTCCCTTTACAATGTGGTCAAATGTCATTTACCCTAAAGACATTTCACCTGTCCAACAGGTTTCCAAAGCCTCTGCTGGGATGTTTATCTTTGCTCCTTACGTTTACTTTTGATGATCAAGCTCCATGCAACCAGGGGCAGGGCCCTGAGGCACTGCTGGAGGGGCCTTCTTTGGGGCCAAACCAGGGGGGGCCTTCTGTGTCTGCCTCTGCAGCTGTAGGAGGTACCCACCCCCTCGTTCTCTGCACGCAGTCTCGAGGCCCCAGAGCAGGAGTGAGGGAGCGCAAGACAGAGCCACAAAAACAATACACAGCCCCAGACTCAGCCGGCTGAAACCATGCAGGTCCAGGCCCCGCTTCCTCAGAGACCTACTGTGGCACCTTGAAAGGCCCCACAGTCTGACAGGAGTCATGATTGTTGGTCACTTAGGCAATTCACTCTCCTTGCTGTGCTTGGCAAAGTCGGAGCCAGTCTGAGAAATCTGGGGTGTCAGGACGTGACTCACAGATTAGCAAACTCCTCGGAAACAGCTGTGTTCAGTCACGTTGAGCACAGGGGTCTCTCCCAGGAGGTTGATCCTGATGGAGCGTTGTCACTGACCTAGCCTCCCAGCGTTGCAGGATCTCACCTGGCGCTGTTCCTGTGCAGCCTGTCCAACTGAGAGCCGAGGCAGGAGACCAGGAAGGGAAGGCAGGGCAAAGGAGCAAGCACAGGGTCCTGGCCGGGTGGCCCCTTCACCTCATCCCTAACCAACTCCCTGCCATCCACCCCTCCTCCTCTCTATTCCATCAGTCCCTTTCTTTGGAGACTCTGCTAACATTTTCTCATGTGTTGTCTTAATTTCCTGGGGCTGCCCATAACAAAGGACCACAACCTGGGAGGCTTAAGCAATAGAAATGTATTGTTTCACAGTTCTGGAGGCCAGAAGTCCAAAATCAAGGTGCTGGCAGGGCCACGCTCCCTCTGAAGGAATTAGGGAGGGATCTGTTCCAGGTCCTCTCCTAGCTTCTGGTCGTTCCTCGGCTTGTGGCTGCATAACCCCAATCTCCACATGGCACACTTCCCATGTTTGTCTGTGTCCAAATTTCCCCTTTGTATAAGGACACAGTCATATTGGATTAGTGCCCACCCTAATGACCTCATCTTAAATCATCTGTAAAGACCCGATTTCCAAATAAGGTCACATTCTCAGGTCCTGAGGGTTAGGACTTCAATGTAAGGATTTGGAGACACAAGTCAAAACATGTCAGTCTCAGCTTACTCTTCTCTTAATAGTTCATATGAATATGGTAAAAGTTTCAAACAGTACGAAGAAAAAGAGCTCCCTCCTATTCCTGTACCCCAATCCCCCTCCCTAAAAACAATCACTGAGGCCAGTGTCTTGTGTATTTTTCCAGGGACAGTCTCTGTGTGTAAAAGCCGACAGATAGACAAATGACACATGATAGACAGACAGAGAAATGTAGAGCTATCTCCTCTGCTTTTCTGTTTGTGCTCCTTTGGCCCTGAAGCACTCAAATAGACGCCTTTCCAAGGACGAGTACTGAAGCCATCCACTGTAACAGAAGACAAAACAATCATGGGATAGAAAGCCAGGGTTTGGCAAACAGGGCTATCCTCCACGGTTTCTGAAGGACATGCAGCCTAAGACTTACCCTTATCCTTAAGATAACATTAGTGACTACAGCAAATCACAAAAAAGGAAAAAGGAAATTTCTGACTGCAAGAAGGGACAAAAATGAAGGTTTCCTACAGCCTCTCCAGGGAAAAAGCAGGCTGGATGCAGAAGCCCAGGGTCACCCCAGAGGTGTCCCCACTGCCCCCAACCCAAAGCTGTCCTAGTGTGGCAGGATCGTCAAGCGCAAGGGCCGAGAAGGAATTCTCGAGATGCTGTACGGTGCAACTTAGTAGGTGTATTTAAGTAGCGCGGGGACGGAACCCACAGGCACAGGGAGCTGTACTTTCGCTGTAGGAAGCTGGTAGTTATATACTTAGTGCTCACGGGGGAAGGTGACGTCCGGGGAGTATGAGATCATCAATGTCTTCTTCGAATTTACGCTCATAAAACTACTTTCGCGGGATTTCTATGGTGCTTATAATTCAGTTCAGTATTAACTATCAGTGAGATTTACAGGCACTCACGAGACCCTTTATGACTGTAGCCACCAGCACGTACTTGATCCTTATTGAAACTATGCAGGCTATAGGTCAGCCTTCTGGGCCAGAGGTGAACCTGTTTCTGCTTCCCTCATCACCAGGACCTCTGCTCTAGGCTCAGGCTGACACAGGCAGGCCCCAAGGAGAAATCCAGGCAGAATTCCACAGATGAAGATTTCAGACAATCCTACAAGGACTCTGGTTCATTTCTCCAAAATCTCAGATGAGCCTTCTCCTCCAGATACCCATACGGCGTGATTTTCCCAGGAAATCTTCTAAGCCAGTGTCTTCCAAACCACAGATGGCAACTCATTATCTACCACTTCATTGTTGACATAAATCTCAGCATGCTCTCCCCACTGCTCTGGAGCTTGCTTATTTCTTTTAATCTTGAGTATCCAGGGGTGCCTGGGTGGCTCAGTCGTTAAGCGTCTGCCTTCGGCTCAGGTCATGATCCCAGGGTCCTGGGATTGAGCCCCGCATTAAGCCCCGCATTGAGCCCCGCACTGAGCCCCGCTCTGAACCCCGCATTGAGCCCCGCATTGAGCCCTGCATTGAGCCTCGCATCGGGCTCCTTGCTCAGCGGGAAGCCTGCTTCTCCATCTGCCGCTCCCCCTGCTTGTGTTCCCTCTCTCGCTGTGTCTCTCTCTCTCTGTCAAATAAATAAATAAAATCTTTAAAAAAAAAAAATCTAGAGTATCCGTCCATACAGCGGAGCCACCCAGAAACCACCAAGAGCCCGTGCAACCGCCCCCTACAGGCACCTTTTGTAACTACAGCTACGCTAGCCCGAACCGCCACCTACATTCACCCGCCGGTGATTCTATGTGCCGGCCGGGCTGGGAGTCACCGACGGAAGTAAGTCAGGGCTAGAGCTTCAAGAACCTGAAGAAATGAATAGCAAACACATCCAACTCTTTAAAATGTGAACCGTCTCCAGAGAGCCGCTGGTGGGTGCTGCCCTGCAGTCAATTCCTGGCTCAGTTCTCCGAGCCTGAATGCCAGTTCTCCGCACCACGGTTTCTGGAGTCTGACTTATATCCTCACCAGGAAGGATGTGGGCTTTGGGACCAGCATGCTTCTGAAACGTAATTGCTTCTACAGTTTTTTCATGCAAACAAAACTCTCTGTGGCCGAACCTAGAAACCACCGCCTAAAACATCATTTCAGAAGAAATCCACGTTCTAAATTCTCAAGTCCAGCTTTTGGAGTGCACGGGGGATGTTCCAAGAATTATGCCTCCTGTATGGTCACTGTCTTGCCAAGCTACTTGGGCTGATGCAGAACAATAAATTCTCTTAAAAATGCCTGAGTGGCGGGCGCCTGGGTGGCTCAGATGGTTGAGCGTCTGCCTTCGGCTCAGGTCATGATCTCAGGGTCCTGGGATCGAGTCCCGCATCGGGCACCCTGCTCCTTGGGAGCCTGCTTCTCCCTCTGCCTTTCTCTCTCGCTCTGTCTCTTAAATCTTAAAATTCCTGAGTGGCAGATACCTTACATAGATCCCTGTCTTTTTGCCTGAGGGCCAAGCAAGAGGCACTAGGGAAAAGAGGACGAGAGGCAGAGGAGGTAAAGCACCCGGAGGGGTCAGCACAGTCATTAGCCTGATATACTCCCATCATAATTATAATAATAATTACAGCAGCAGCCCCTCCCCACCCCCCACGTCAGCAGCCAGTCCTCTGGGAAACGGAGCTGCATTTGGGGAAGAAGATTTGGCCCCCGGCCTGAGGGCTGCCCCCTGGGAGTGGGACAGAACAAAAGGGTGTGTGACGGCAACAGGTCACAGAGGGCAGTACAGGATTAACAAACACCCAGTGGAGTCTAGGCGGACGTGGAAACCCCCGAGAGAGATGGGCCATCACGGTCACTACCTGGCCCCCGAGCTACACTTCGCCCTGCCACCGAAAACCGGCGGCGCCAAGAGCAGCGCATCTGTGTTACAGCATCACCCGGCCCACAGCAGCCACACCGTGGGCACGCTCGGCACCTGGCGGGGGGCGCTGCAGCAGCCAGAGTACAAGGAGAGCGGGTATTCAAGAACATGTCATTGTTTGAGAGCAACGTTATCCTGATCAGCAGGAGAGAAGTGACCGATGTGCGCACCCACATCCCAGATGGCGACCATGGGCGTGGCCCCCATCAGCCCACCCTCCACGACCTAGCGCCACGCTGCTGGCCTGACCAGCCACAGACCGAGAAAAGGATGCTACACGTGCCACCAGGGGCCAGCAGGGGCCACCAGGGGAAGGAACTAAAGGCCCCCAAGATCTTAGAGCTAAGCAGGCTACTTCCCTTGAAACCTGTCAAGATTTCTGTCCTTGACCCCCTGAAACCGCAGCTACCCCTGAAGCTTGCAGCCAGCCATTGCTGCTATCTTCAGGGTACACAGGAGGACTTCTTACCTGTTGGGAAGAACTCATTTATCTCCTGAGGCCACCCGTGGAGGGTCCTGGCAGAACTCGGGCCAACCCAACTGGGGATACAATGGACATGCCTGGGTCTATGACGGAGGACAAGCAGAGCCCCGTGGCAGGTCTCTGCAAACACACAAGGAGACGGGCTCAGAGCGCTTTGGGACGGGCCCTCGAAACCTTTGTTGTTCTCTCTGAGGCTCCCTTGGAAGATGCGTTACGCTTGGAAGGGCTCAGGGCCAAATAAGCCACCACTGGGGAACTTGCCACCTTGGAGAGGTTCCCAGTGCTTCTCAGGGTATACCAAGCTCTTCTTTTTGAATGCCTGCTCTCTCAAGTCAGGCGCCCTGCTCTACTGTGGGACATTTTCAACTATTAGAAAGTCCTTTCTTCGTTTTGAGCTCCCTGTCTCTCTGTGATTGCCATGTAGTCATTTTTGTATATATCGATACAATGTGTGTTTCCATACATGCACAATCTGTTAGCAGCCATCCACACAGAAAACACAGGCCCTGCCAAAGGGGCAAGGACAGGGGCGGTGGCAGCTCAGGCAGCCACAGGACCACAGCAAGAGCTGAGTATGGCAGCAACCAAATCCATAAGCCCGGGACAGACGATGGAGCGATGGCAGGAACAGCCAGCAGGGGTCCCGGAAGAAGCACGGCCAGCACGACCAAGCACGACCATGGCCTCAGAGAGTCCGAGCAGGGTGGAGGATGGTAGTGCAAGCGTGTCCTAAGAGGCTGCTTCCAGCACGTCACCAGGAGCCCGTCCCTCCCCAGAGGGCAGCAGGAGTGTGGCAACTGCAAAGACAACCAGTAAGCCCAACGTAGAAACAGCTAAACGTCCAGGGATCATCTCATTTGGGCAGAGTAAAGGCTCCATGAGGGAACGGGATGGAAGCCAGAGTCGCCCGGGCCAGCGCTGAAGCCCAGAAAGACAGAAGGAAAACAGAGGCTAGAGCTCATGGTAGAAGGAGCTCCCATCACCACACGACAAGTGTAAATCCCCACAGGTCAGGCAAGACAAGTCAATCCAAAGGTCATCTCCATAACCAGCCATAGAGGCAGCAGAGGGGGTGAAAAAGAGGATGTTATGGGTTGACTTTTCTCCCCCCAAGAGATATGTTCGTCCTAATCCCCATTACCTGTGAATGTGACCTTTTGGAAATAGGGTCTTTGCAGATGTAATCAGGTTAGGATGAGGTCATTAGGGTGGGCCCTAATCCAGCTGGAATGGTATCCTGACAAGAAGGGGAAATGTGGACAGACAGACACCCACAGAGGGAAGATACTGTAGAGGCGCATGGTAAAAAAACAGGCGTGTGATGTTGGAGGGATGCATCCATAAGCCAAGAAAGGCCAAAATTGCCAGCAACTACTAGAAGCTGGATGAGGCAAGGCAGGCTTCTCCTCTAGGCCCTTCAGAGGGAGCATGGCCCTGCTGACCTGACATCTTCACTTGGGACTTCCAGCCTCCAGAAGTAGGAGAGAATACATTTCTGTTGTTTTAAGCCATCAGTCTGTGGGACTTTGTTAGGGTAGCCCTAGGAAACAAATATAGGGGCAACAGACCCCGCTCCTGCCCTCACCACAGCCCTACCAGGAAGGATCTAGGGCATCTCACAAACAGGAGGAGCCAATCTATGGCTAGGTCAGGTTCTGCAGGTGAGAGACCCAGGTGGGTAGGCTCTCAAAGAATTTGAAGAAGCCAGTCCTACTACAAAAACTGTGGTCTCATCTCTTGGTAGAAGGAAATAGCGTGTCTAAGGCTGTGCTGGGGATTGGCGAGGGGGTCATTGTGGAGCCAGCAGAAGGTGGCAAGTGGCTGGAGATCACAGGTATCTAATTCCTGAGACCAAGAAGACAGTAACCTTTGAAGCCCATTAAAGAGGAGTCAGAGAAGGAAGACCGAGGCGCATAGAAGTGTCCCAAGAGAGTCATCTCAGCTTTCCTTCCTATAGTTTAATTAAATAGAAAGGAAAACCATAGCTAATGGGAATGAAACTCACATGTGGGTTCTAGGAGACTACTGTGAGAATGTTTATAGCGAAATAATTTGGAACAGCCAAACCCTGGAAACAGCCCAAATGTCCATCAAGAAGAGAACTACAAAATTGTGGTAGATGCCACACAACAGTGAAAATGAATAGTAGCCACACACATTAGCATGGATGAATATCACACAATTTGGGTTAACCAGCAAGACACAGAAGAAAATATATAGTATAGTTCCATTTATAGAATAATTCAAAAACAAGACCAAACACTATATTGTTTAAAATACATATTTGATAAAACGGTAAAGAAAAATGGTGACTCCAGGTAAGGAATGGGGAGTTTATATGGAGCAGTTACCCTGTAACTAGGGACAGTGGGAATCAGGATGAACAGAACCTAAGCTGGTTTAAATCATAAGGAAACAGACTCGGACACAGCAGAAAGCCAAAAGCAGAGGAGCGTAGTAAGGTCAGGGCTCCCCTGGCCTATGCACCTGCTTAATTTTTGGACCACCCTTATAACTAGAAAATTCAAGTCAAGCCAGGGCAAGCAAACACCTCCGTTCTAACCTCTCCTCTCTTCCATCTATTTGGGCCAACTTAGGACACATGCTCACACCTACACCAATGGGAGAAGCCAGAAGAATTCTGCATGCTGATTGGCTTAAAATCAGGATCCTAAGCCAATCACTGACAAGATCGGCTCCAGAACAAATCACTGACAAGATCGGCTCCTGAACCGATCACTCCAAGACAGACACTTGGAATAAGGGCATGTAAGGTGGCAAACTACTGGATTCAGAAATAAAACTCAACCCCCAATGCTGTCCCGGTTTCTCCTGCTAGCGTGACAAGAATGCCTAAGAATAAAACGAGGCAAGAGGAACCAAGGGTGTAAACATGTATCAACAGGGATGGGGTATAAGAGGGTACTGAGTAGGTACAAATAAGCCCAACCACTTAGGGTTGTAGGACCAAAGGTAACCGCGAGCTTCTATCAAAAGTCTGTTATGCACTGGGTCCTCTACAGAGGTTCTCTAGTTTATTCCTCACTACAATGATGTTTGTTTCATCAACCCTATTTTACAGAGGAGGAAACGGACTCAGAAAGGTTCAGTATCTTGCCACAAGTCAAAAAGATAAGAAATGAGGAGGGAGCCAGGATTCAATCCCAGATCCATGGCCTCCTAAGTTCATGCTCTTTCCAGTGAGCAGCTGGGTAGAAGAACAGCAGGATGGCAGCAAGACCAGCCTTGACCTCTCCAGGGTGTCTAAAGCCTACTTCTTCCAAGGCAAGGCCCGACTGCTTAGGACCCATGCACCTCTGAGCAAGGACATGCAGTATACCTACTTCTCCTGAATGCCCTATCCTGGTTATAACGGTACCACCCAGGTAAAAAGATTCAGAGACAGCCTCAAAGTCACTCTCTGCGTCTATTAACAAATGCCCCTCACCCAGAGATCACTATGTGAGGTCACTCCTCTTATTTCAGACCCTCTCTCCTGCTAGGCAGATGAGAGATACCAAAATCACCATGCTCCCTCCTGTCCCAACTCCCTACCCAAACCACAGCCCCTGAAGGGACAGCCCTACATAGGACATGTCTGTCCACTCCCCCCCAAGCCATGCCCATGACAACTAGGTGGACGTCCTGTCAATGACACACAGCACCATCAGCCTTATGGCCAAGGAGTACATCGACCCCACAGAATAGACTCAAAAATCATCCACAAGCAGAAAATCTCTAGGCCAAATGCCAAGTGCTTTGTTTTGAGTATTGGTTAAGATTTCAAGAAGGGTAAGAAACAGGAAGAAAGGAAGAACTATTGGAAATTATTACAATTAGCATAGAGTTTCTGAGAGCACAGAGACTTGAAGGGACTTTCTTTTCCCCTCTGGAAACAGAGTGAGCCAGATGGATGTCTGCTTTCATATTGTGCTTGCTTATACTGTCTTTTAAAAAAAGTATCAGTCCACCCCAAAACATGTCTTATTAGCTGCATACTCTTCTCCATCCCTCCAATGACACATACTCACCCCATCTGCACTGTCTTCGGAAAAGTAACAAGCTTACTACCGGACAGTTTACTCCAGTGTTCAAATGCCACCCTTCCTTCCTGCTACCCTCCCCCACCCCCTCCCGCTAACACCCCCCACCACCACCATGTCTCCCCTTCCGCTCTCCCCTTGCCTCCCTACAGCCCTTCTCTCTCCCTTTCTTTCTAGGCTGTGGAAAGAATCGATTAAGCTCCCTGTCCAACATTTGCAGCATGCTTCTTTCTCTTTCCTGAGACTTCTTCAGCTGTGGGGAGACCCAGGTCCCAGTTGGGGCATTGTTGCGGGAGCCCATGGGCTGAAGGAGCAGGCGAGGGGGTTCGAGTCCGGCAGATGCCTGTTTTGTCAAAGACAAAGGCCCCCCATCGAGCCTCTCCACTTTGCAGCACTTTCATCCCCCTCAGATCAGAGGGCTGCTCTACATATGAAAGGCACCGCCCATTATGCGGCTCACATTAGCCCCGCACCACCCCACAAGCCTCCCAGCTCTGTGAACAAAGGGGCTCGCATCTGTTCAGGCGCAGGCCTCACCTTCTGGGGCGGTGGGCTGTTGTGTCTTTTTTCTTAGTTCACTTTTGAGAGCCATTCAGCCCCTTGTAGTTGGAGAGCAGTAGGGGAAGGTCTTCCTTGTCCTCAGAACATTCCGCCCTGATATTGTTTCGAGCCCCCCTTGAGGATTTCTGGTCCTTGCCTCTCCCATCTCACCTGGGTATCCAGGCAGTGGGGATGTCCTCCTCAAGCTCATTTATTTTCTCCCTTCCAGCCACTCTGTAAAACCCCTCCTCCTCCTCTACCTGAAAGGAGTCTATTCCCATGGAATAGTCTAGACTGGCCCCTCAAAGCAAGATGGTGAGAAATTCTGCTTCTTTTCTTGTCACGTTAATACATGCTGCCTGACATGGGAGGTAAAGCCTCCACACACTTCTTTGGACACTGAGCTCTGCTTTCCAGGGGGTTGGGAGGGAAAGCACCCCTAAGAACTTGGACCTGGGCTCTT